CAGCATGTCTGGCACAGCAGCACTCAGCAGTGGTGTCACTTCATTCAAGCCACAATAGTCCACAGTCAATCTCCATTCTCTGTCAGACTTGCGTACAGGCCAGATGGGACTGTTGAAGGGTGAGTGGGCCTTACTGACCACGCCTTGGCTCACCAGCTCATGGATCATTTTATGGATGGGGTTCACAGCATCCCCATTCATCCGATACTGCTGGTGGTGCACCGTAAAGGTGGCCATTGGTACTCATTGCTCTTCCACCCTCCAGAGTCCTACTGCACATGGGTTTTTCTGATAGTCCAGGCAAGGTGTTCAATTGCTTAATGACTTCTGCCTCTAGAGCAGCTATTCCAAAAGCCCATCTGAGTCCCTTTGGGTCTTTGTAATAGCCGTTCCGAAGGAAGTCTATGCCTAGAATACAAGGGGCCTATGGGCCAGTCACAATAGGATGTTTCTTCCACTCCTTTGCAGTCAGGCTCACCTCAGCTTCCAACAGTTGCTGCTATCCCCCGTCACCCTGGCAATGGAAACAGGTTCTGCCCCTACATGTCCCGATGGTATTAGGGTACACTGCCCACCAGTGTCAACTAACAGTTCATATTTTTGTGGCATGGGCCCTCTAGCCCTGGTTATCATTTCTTTCCTGGGCATACATACTAGAGGTTTCTTCAAAGGGATCCAACAGATCATCCTCCCTTCTGTAATACCCAGCAGCTCGGTTGTGAGAGGGTGAGGCTACCTTCACTTTAGTGGAACTCCCTCAGTTAGTGTTTCCCTCCTTGAGTTCATGCACCAGTGCTGCCAGGACAGAAGTAGGTTTCCCATCCCAGCATCCCATGTCTTCCCCATGGGAAAGAACCACAGGTCAGCCTGTGGTGTGTACCCTCTCTCTCTCGCTGGGGGACGTTGGGCTCTGACTTTGCGGCCTTTGACTCACCCTGGTGCCATATGGGAACTCTTCCTCCTCACCTCCTCCCTCATCTCCTCTTGGAGGATCTTAATTACAGCAGAGACATGAGGCTCTATGGGGCCATTGATCATACTCTCATAATTTCTAAGCTTGTTGGCAACAGAACCCACTGTTTCTCAGTTATTTGCATTAATCATTGCAATCAAAGTGGTGTATTGAGATGGCCCTAGATTTGCCAGACTCCACAACATTTGCCCAGTGCACCTGACCTTGTCAGGGTCATTATCATGCTGTCCTTCCCTCCCAAGGAGTACCTCCAATACCGCCACTTCTCTCAGCTGTTGGATCCCTTCCTCAAGGGTTTTCCAGCACATTCTATGGTGGTGTTCCTGCATTCTCTCCCTGTGGACAAACCTCTCTCTGACACTTATTAAAAGCCACTCCCAGAGGGAAAGGGGCCCTGGCTCCCTTAAAAATACCTGATTCATACCTGAGTCCTTGGTCAAGGGTCCCAAATTCCTTGCCTCACCACCATCCAGTTGCACACCTGTACCCATAAGGTCCCAGACCCAAAGTAACCAGGCTGTATAAGCTTCATGCCCCTGTCATACAATGTCTTTCTGCAGATTACAGAGACTTTGGTATGTCAAAGACTCAGTGATGATTGCAACCATTGGCTCCCCTGCAGGTTGTGAGGGCCCTCCTTTCTTATCATTATTATTTGGGTGCTCTGATTTCATCTTAGACTTTCTCATTTTCACAGGGGTAACTGCTGCTGGCTGTGACTGCCCTTGCAGTTCAGCTGGAACCTGGATGGTTGTAATGTCTGTGGGTTCTACTGGTGCACTATTAGACTCTCCCTCTTCCTGGCAGGGGGAGGGTTTCTCACAAGCTGGGGAAATGTACTCCTTCAGCATATGGCTCATCTCACCTATCTCCTTCACAAGAACCGCCACCCAGTCTGGGTGGTTCAGTTCTGAGGTGCGCTGTGGAGCAACATCCCTAGTACCCAGGGTAGTGTCAGGGTCTGTAGTAGCATTGCTATTCTCTGGGGTAGGTATGAGGGTGGTTATCCAAGTCAATCTTCCCTTATCTCTTAATGATAAATAGAACAGGCTTAACAGGCATATCAGCAACACCAGCCACTGTATGATATCATTAGTATTTAGAGAGGATCTGAACCCTTCAAAAACTGGTGGGGCAGACCCAAAGAGATGGTTAAAGGGTTGGGAGAAAATTTCCCCGTGTCATTTCCTCACAGTAGGTACCATTCTTAAAGTAACCCCAAAAACATACAATTAGTGTGTGATAGCTCTGAATCCATGTTCCTGCCTTCCAGAGGAAGTTAAAGATCCATGAATTCCTCACCTTATTAACCCATTAAAAAAACTTGATGACAGCCACAGTAGCCTTAGTTCTAGGGCCCGTGTCTAGATAAGGGCCTGCAAATGGGAGAAATATAGCCAGAACCACATGCCACCCAAACCAGGGTAAGCTAGACCACATGATGACACCTAACAAGGTTTTTATATCCAGCACACAAAAATTAGGTTACACAAGAACTGTTATTCCTTTTCTCACCCTTTTTCTATCGATGCCATTGTGCCTTATGACTCAATGGCCCATTAACAGAAGAAATCTCACCGGAGGGAGGATTGGTCATGGAAGAGATAAAGAAAACTGCCCCGCTTGGTTTTAACAGGTGGCTCAATTAACAGAAGATAACTGCCCCACCTCTAACAGATGGTAGAATACATGCCCCCAGCCACATCTTGCAACTTAAGACAGTCTTGATGCTCTCCTGGGGTTTCCCCAGTTCAGGACACCATCACCAGCCACTTCCCATAGATCCCCTGGTCTGCTGCAAAATGCACCTGCACCCAAGCTGCTTGCCTTGACTTTCTTAAAAAATATAAAAGCAAACCTATTCATATAGTGACGTAACATTATCACACATTAGGCCCCAAAAACTGTTATTGACTATTTTAGTCAAACACTGCATGTTTTACGGCAATTAATTGTGATGATAAAATATGATTACTTCCGAGGGGGTCTAGATTTGAAACTTAGTGGTATTATGAGTTAGGATTCCCTTGCCCCTACAAAAGAAAATATTTTCAACAGAAATAGGAAGTCATCTACCATCTCAATATGACTGAAAGTCAAGAGACTCTGGATGCTTACAGTTTTTTTCCCAAGACTTCCCCTTTCATATTTCCAGACACTGAAAGTATCTCAGAGCACTGGTCAACAACCGTAAGAGATGCATGCATTTGCAGCGTGAAGGTTTTTTTATCCAGTTGAAGTGTATTAGAAGTCAACTTAAAATGTACATAAACATTTTTTCAGAATTTCTGCATGTTAAAGATTATAACTGCTACCAGTTTAGCTGCTTATCTATCTGGAAACATACACTCACACAGCAGAGAGATACAAGAGCTATCACCCTTCACAGTGAGAATATTGCTAGAAACTACACTGTAAAACCAATGTTTGTCATTTTTGCCATTTCCACTAATTTTACTCAATTAAATGAAAAATCCATACAATTATGAACAGAAAAAACTGGTAACCTGCATAATTTTCAGCACACATAGACTTCACACTGGGAAGGAATGCTGAGATGTAATGCAAATTACGAAGAAATTATGTAGTACTCATTCAAAATTCATTCAGTGATAAGAAGAGAAGAAATTGGGGGAAAAGACAAAATATGGTACAACCTAGAAGCAGCATAGGCACACTGAAAATAGGTATTTTCTGGGATTTGTTGAGAAACAAAGTGTACTGGTTTTGGCTGGGGTAGAGTTAATTTTCTTCCCAGTGGCTGGTATGGGGCTATGCTTTGGATTTGTGCTGAACACAAGGTTGATAATATAGAGGTGGTTTTCTTATTGCTGAGCTTATACAGAGTCAAGGCATTTTCTGCTCATTGTACGGCCATGCTGGGGAGGAGGCTGGTGGTGTGTGGGAGGTTGGGAGGAGACAGTTGGGACAGGTGACTCAAACTGACCCAAGGGATATTCCAGACCATGAGACATCATGCTCAGTATATAAGATGGGGGAAGAAGGAGAAGGGGGAAGACGTTTGGAGTGATGGCATTTGTCTTCACAAGTCACCATTACACATGATGGAGCCCTGATTTCCTGGAGATGGCTGAACACCTGCCTGCCCATGGGAAGGGGTGAACAAATTCCTTAGTTTGCTTTGCTTGAGTGTGTGGCTTTTGCTTTCCTTATTAAACTGTCTTTATCTCAACCCACGAGTTTTCTCACTTTTACCCTTCCCATTGTCTTTCCAGTCCCACTGGTGGGAAAGGGAGTGAGCAGCTGCATAGGGCTTGGTTGCTGGCTGGGGTTAAACCACGACACAGTCACAACAAAATTGCATTTAAATATTCAAGCATATTAAATCAAAGATGTCATTACATGAAAGCTCAGAAACCTCATAAGATTCAATGACATTTATAGATATACTTAAGCCTCTCAAAACTTAGTTTGTGATATACTTATAATGTCTATTACCAGCAACTAAGTGTAGCACAATGCTGTAACCAATTATATTATTAGGATTATGGTATTTTACAAAAGTTTTTCATTTAAGGCAATTTTAAACTGCTATTGGCATTAAGACATCTTATAGGCTAACAGAGAGAAAGCTATATCAAAGCACTTACCAAACTGACTAAGGACTGAAGCCTGGGTAATGGGCGGTTTTTGATCCCAGGATGATGTGGTAGTGGTAGTAGAACTATTATTGTTTTGTTGAGAGGTAAACTGACCCAAACCTGGAGATTTCAACTGGTCCAAGATTTGGGATCCAGTAGAGTTTGTCAGTTTAGGAGAGCCATGTTCTCGAAAGCCAGGACAAAGAACTGCAGACTACCAAGAGACCAAAAAAAAAAAAAAAAAAAGAAGGGAAGAAAAGAGTGGAGTTGAGTATTTAATAAATAATTTGAAAATAATTTGAACACAACCATAGGGTTATGTTCAATGCCTACAGCTGCTATTTGGCAGCAACTGAAACCTCTGTAGTCCTAGATTACTAATAAATCACAGAATTGTTAGGGTTGGAAGGGACCTCTGGAGATCATCCAATCCAACTCCCTGCCAAGGCAGGGTCATTCAGATCAGGTGACACAGAAGCAGGTCCAGGTAGGTTTTGAATGTCTTCAGAGAGGGAGACTCTACACCCTCTCTGGGCAGCTGTTGTAGTGCTTTGCCACCCTCACTGTAAAGAAGTTCTTCCTTATGTTGAGGTGTCACTTCTTGTGCTTTAGTTTTTGACCAATAAAAAAATCAGCAGCATACGACCAGACCCTCTCTGGTTATCACTGATATAACTTCATCACTGACTATGACAATACTGATTTACTTTAATCCATGCATCTTAAAATAGCATGCATTTACTAATAGTTGCACTTATTCTGTGAAAATCAGTTTAAGTTCCCAATTTAAAGCCCTCACAATTGACTCAGAAATAATCAGGTTTCCAAAAAAAGCAGTCAGATGTGTGTTTGCAAATAACACAAAGTTTTCTGGCATAGAACTCTTCACTATAAACAAGTGATTTCATCCTAAATCAGCATGCAGTAAATACATCCGCTCTCTACTCAAAAATTAATACAAGTACTTCATGTGAACTGAGAAACAACTACCTAACAAAACCAGAAAAAAAGTAAACTTTATTTTGTGTGTGTGAATTGAAGGAATGAAATTAAGAATTCCTTCAACATTTGCAACCTTAATTTTATAAATACCGAACCATCTCATTAAATGGCCAGTACTGGAAAAGTTACTTAACCTGAAATATTTACTCATTAGGAATACTTAAAAAGCATAAGATATTTTTACCAGACTTTGAGGAGAATAAGAGTTTACAGCACTGGAGCTGCCAGTTCCTGATGCCATCTGGGTGCTGTGCTGAGAATTTGTGAAAACTAGGGCTTGGCCAAAGGTTTGTTGCTGGGGAGCCTCAAACGAGTTGCCTTCTGTCTCTTGGGTAAGGGTCACAGGCTTTTCGGGCTTTTGAAGCAGTGTTACCAAATCAGTGCTGTAAGACAAAGCAAAGTTTGGATGGAATAAACACGATGATTAGACTGTGCTGAAACTGAAGAAAGCACTAATACTAAAGCTGCCATACCAGCAACAGAATTATTCTGCTAGCTGAAACTTACCACTATAGCTAGAATATAAATTCGTTGTTCTCATTTAAATCATTATCAAATGTATATCATCATGTATCATATAAATAACCTATATGATTAATATAACCAAGTAACTGGAGTCAAGTCATAAAAGATACATTGTGTTTAAGCTGATCCCTCCTGCCAACTCTTTATATATATTGATAATCCACATTCTCTGTATATCACAGAGCAAGGGATCAAAGTCCTACCTCTGTATGGGGTAGGTATACAGACAGTAAAGAATTAAGTCACATGCAGCAATTGAGTATGTGATGGTATGGAAGTCACAAGAGCAGTGGAAATAAAAGCTACATTTCTCAGATAGTAGGCACATATCCAAAATTACTTTACCATATATACCTGAGCAGAATGAGAAATGTGAATTTTCTTACATTTAACACGGCCTACTAACACCTACACGTTTAACACAGGTGTATCCAAGGAAAAGCAAAGCATTCAGAAAATAAAATAAATCTACTCAAAAAATTCTGACTTAAGTTTATCCTAAATATACCACAGGCTTGGGCTGAAGAGCTGCTTCCAGCACTTTGATTAGCATAGATTTCTTAATGTCCAAGCCTTTCTTATGGCAAGTAAAAACCCAAACAAAATATCACAAAACAATACACCAGAACTCGAGCTGATGAACTAAAATATTTTCTAACACAAATTGAGGGACCTCCACTGGAAGAATATTTGCATTAAAACAACAAACATGTGAGCATATCACAGAATATTTAGGTTTCAAAGGGACCTGTGGAGATCTAGTCCAACCTTACCTTTAAGAAGGAAAGGAATAGAATATACACTGTAAGCTGACACCATGCCTCCTCCAGGTCATGCCCATATTATAATGACAATTTTGCTGCAGTCTGAAGTATAGCAGTACAGCTGTATCAGGATGTTTGAGACCATTAGGCCATCTAGTTTTCAGATCTCATGCTATCCAACTACAGAAGTCTTCATCATACAACCTTAACCTGCTCTGTGAGGCTGATGCAGGCAGCTGATTCCACATAATTGGCCAGGCATATGGTGAATACAAAGACAAGCAAAAGCAGCAACTGTCATATTTTCCATTCTCTATCTGAACTCTATAATCAGTTAAGGCAAGTAATAGTGATGGCAAGAAGGTGATTTTCCTGGTAAGCAACACAAGCTTTTCTGTCAACATATTTGTCAGAGCACTATATTCTGAACACTTTCTACATCTACAGGGGCAGGGTTTTCATTTTCTGGACAGCAAAGCCAGAGCTTCCTTTTCAACAACAGCAGCACAGTTTTCTTACTAGCTATTTTTGTTCCTGTCAGTAAGCAGTCTTTGTGTGGAAGTCAGTATTATGTTCATGGATTTTCTAAGTTTGGCTCCACTTCTGTAGTCAATAATAGGCAACACAGGAACCCACAAAAGCAAGACTTTCACAGTTTTGAAACTAGCTTGACCAATCTCTGGCCAAGGCTGCCCTGTGTTTTAGTCAACATTTTATATGTGCAAGGTAGCATTGCTTCAACAAGCAGAAAGTTTTTAAGGTATAGGGAAACTATGGAAGAAGATTTTACCTTTGCCTAGGAGTCACATGATTCTCAGCTGGAACAGAGGAAGCAGTGAAGACTTTTGTTTCAGAAAGCTGAAAAAAGCATGCAGGGGGGAAGAGTTATTTTAATCATACACATGCTCACATCAGTACTGTGACATCTTCAGAAATTCCATCTTGGTCACGCACTTTTAAGATAAAAGTAAAGTCAAACTATCATTACAACCACTTATGCTGCAGCTCTGCTTAAAAAGACAAAAAAATGTAGTGGAACTTCAGCAAAGTCTTCTCCACGGAATCAAGTACCAATTTAATGAAAGTGTTAGGAAATTTGATCTACTGAACACTGAATGGTATACTAATGTATATAAACATACATCAGTTTGGGAAATAGTTTAACTGAAAACTATACCAGTAGAAAGTAATTAATGCAACAGCTGATATATCAGTGTGCAGACATAATTTAGGACTCCATAGAGCAGCTCTGATAAATCTCGTTGCAGAAGTCTAACACATTGCACTGTTCCCACTCATTTAATGTATCTCTGTTTTACATTTCAGCTTACATCATCAGTGGAAGCAGGTTTGCACTCAGGTATGTAGAGTGAACTAGCATTCATGGTTCCTTCTTGGCACTTCTAGGAGTGGCAAAACCATCTTAAACATATTGCTCTGCAAGCACGAGTTTGAAAACAATGAAGGGAGAACTGTGCAACTGCTTATGCTAGTATAACAAGTCAAACCATCCACAGCAGAAAACTATTGCTTCCACCATGCTGTTAGAATAAAGATAGATACTTGCACAGGTAGCTGGGGAGGGGGAGCTGGTTGGTTGGCATTTGGGAGAAAGAGGGTGATTTTGGTTTGTAGGGGGGTTGATTGTTTCTTGTTTGGGATTTTTAATAGCTTTTCTTTTTAGAAAAATAGTAGTTAAACAACTATAACTTCCTATGGCTAATTAATTTCTATTGACAGGAATACTTGCAAACCACAATAAGTGCTAAGCCAGTACAGGTTTGGTTTAACAAGGCAGAGATATGACTGTATAATGGTTATATTTTCAATTAAATTTGCACAAAATCACCCTTAACTACTTTGGCGTAGCTGTGTATTTAGATTAAAGAATAAGTGTCCTATTCAAACATGCACAAAGAATCCCTTTAGAATGTGACATTTGAATGTAGCTCTTCCAGGAAATTATGCATTTTTAATAGCTAGCAGCCCAGTTTAAAGGACATCACAGATAAGAGGCAGTATCATCTGCCATCCCACAGGCAGCTCTACTGAAAGCATGTATGTCCCTGTACATGGTCATCTGGGATTCTTCTATGAAACATTTGATTTAAGTAGGATGCAGAAGGTCTGACTGGGAGCAAATCACTTACTACTCAGAGGCAAAGTTCAAATATTTCATGTGCTCTCCCCTAGCACTACACTGGGTCATGAAAAAATTAGTACCACCACAATTCCTCCCTTAATTTCCTTCCCTTCCTGCTAATATAACATATTTTAATACCATCTTTCTGGAATACAACTCTGTCCTGAGCATAATGCTACCAGCCTGCAACTCTATGTATTGACCAAAACAAAGAAGATTCAGCTCAAGCATATTTCCAATTTAAAAGGCTGTTTCTCTATTGCTCAGCTCTTTCCTCACCATACGTGTTATTTTATAACAATGTGTACAGTACTTTCTGTGGTGTTATGAGACTCCTGCATTATATGGCACAAGGAGGTCAGCTAATGGCACAAGCAGCAGCTTATGTTTTGCAATCTCTTGGTTAAATAGCAAATTCTTTGTAATGTCAAAAGTTTCTTATGCTCACAATACCCAGGATAAGACGAAACATGGCCAAAACACTGATGAATCCTGAAAACTAAACAAATCGAGGAGCCTGAGGATGTTTGTGATAATGCAAAAGCATGCTTGACATGAGAGAGGAAATGTTCTCAAGTGAACCAGCATGCAAAACAGACATGTCCAGCTACGAGCTTGGCTACATTGAAGTTTACACTACACCCTGCAGCAAACTCACTGCTACAAGCTCCAAACACCTAATTCAAAAGTCTGCTGGGATTACAGCGTTTGTCCAAACACATACTTTGTGCAGCAGCAGCAGCTGAAAAGCTTTATTACACAGATGCATTTAGTACTTCTTAGAAGTAATATCAGCTCCTAACAAAGTTATTTATGCTCACTGTACACTACACTCACAAATCTTTCACTGAGGCTCTGGCATTTTCCCAGGACTGAATGAACAGTTGTGAATCATGCACAAGCAGCAGCCCCACAAGGGTATTTCCTCCATCTGCAGTGAAATGTCTGTGCTTTTAATCTCCTGTTTCTATGATAAAAATCATTCTCCAATCACCAGACATAGAATATATTTAACAACTAAGCTACCAGGTGCTATGGACAGTTGATAAATGAGGACCACAAGAAAATATACTCTGGCATACTCATAAAAACTCAACAGCAACAAATCAGAAATAACAAAACCTTATCTGTGTTTTGACATGATATACTGAAGTTAAAGAAATTAAAACAAGTTCTTGTGCTGCTTCCTGGTAAAGGAAACACTCCCACTAATTTTTTTTTTCAAGTGTTGCCATTGTTTCAAATAAAAATGAAACCTAACAATATTATATACAAAATATTTGCCTTCAATCACTTTCCAGCAATTAGTAGGTATTCTATTTCTTCCCTTCTGATAGTTTCTGTACTTAAACTTAATTTTATTTAGCCAGAAGAATATAACCACAATTTTAAGAGGAAAACCCAGAGCCATCTACAGTACCTCAATATTTGTCTAGTCCTTCATTGCCCATACAACCTCAAATTTTCACGGCAAGGAGCTTCCTCTATTTAATAGTATACTGACAACATACTATACTTGTGGCAGCATGGCAGCAGCTCTTTGGCCACAGAGCAATGCACAACTTTCCCAGGCATTGTGCTAGGGAAGACTGTGAGAAGATCAGAGAAAAGAATGATAAACAATTCTTATCTTCACTTGCTGCACCTGTTGTTGTGAACATGTGGAATGTCTTATGGAGATTTGTTTACCAAAGAGTGGTTTCTTAATTGGCCACTGCTGATGGTGTTTAGATTGAAGGACCAATTGGGTCCACCTGTATCATGACTGTCTGTAAGGGCGATGGGTTTCTTAATTAGTATAGTATAATAAAGTGATAGATCAGCCTTCTGAGAATCATGGAGTTAATGCTAATTATTACCTGGCTGTGGGCCTGCAATAACATATACTTGCTCAATACTCATTACTAAAGATAGTAACCAGTCCTGTCTAGTAATTAAATCACAGAAATCAAATTGTTCTCAGGCCAAACAACATGAAATTTCACTCACCTGCACCTAACTTGTACTTGACTAGGGAACACCACATTTAAACAAAAATATTCTTCAAAAAATGCCTGGTCTTTACCTGCAGACAGCAAATACATCAGCTTCCTTGGTTGTTTCAATCATTAGTCATGCTGCTAGAATTGTTTATAATACATTTAAATGCATGGATCCATTTTCCAGCCACAGGTTCACATTATGCCATTTTCTGCTAGACTAAAACAAGAACCCATTATATGCTAATAAAGTAACCTTTTCAGATTCAGTAAACTAAAAATCTCACTCTCAAACACCAATACTATCAGTAAATATTTTCAGCTATTTTCCACGTTTTGTTTTGTAAAAGCAATGAATAATTGGATGCAGTATTTCAGAATCAAGTTCAGGAGAGTTCACATACTGAAATATAAATCAAGAATGATTAAGAGACAGGGAAGAGCGCCTAAAGACAAAAAGACTACAATAGGGTTTTTTTGCCACAGCAACACCTCTTTAGGAGATCATGCTGAGCTGTTCCTTTTTCATCATCTGCTACAATGCTGAAATTTTTTCAATTGCTGCTTTCCAGACACCAGCCCTTTGTTCTGGAGGTGTGCCTTTATTCCTATAGAACAAATGGGCACTTGGCTATATTAAAGTATTTTTCATTTGAGAACAGGTAAAGTCTAGCAGCGTTTCAGATTTCTGTATGACTGGCTTACTTTTAATGGCCATTCCAAAAATTATTTTTTTTTATTTCTCACAAATTTTATTCAGCAGTGATGTTATTACTTCCAAATCATTGATAAAGACACTAGATGGCATCTGGCCTGGGACTAGATTACTTTATAGCCCTCCTAGAAATGCCCTCCTGCAAAAGATTTATTGGCTAAAATTTTCATGGCAGATTTCAATCCACCTAATGTGCTTCATGATAGCATGTAATTATATTTAGAACAAAAAATGTAGATCAAATCTCTTACAAGGACATACTCTATCTTTGCAGTTAATTTGAAATTTACTTAAAGACCAATATCAGGTTTATTTGAAGTGGACCTATTTTCATACAACTACACTGAATGACACAAGGTGCATTCTTTTTTTTTTTTTTTTTTTAATCAAATGAATCCATTTTACTTTATTTTTTCCCCAGGGATGTTTTGGGCTAATTTGCCTGCAGCTCACTATTTCATTCACTCTTTCTGAACATCAGCACATGAATAACTTTCTCCTAGGTTACAGGGATTTTTCCAGAACACCAAAATGAATAAAAATTAACAACAGTCTAGAAATTTAATTTGCTGTTCCTTTAAGAGTCATGCACAAATTACTTGAGTTTCATAGTGTCCTGGGGTGACTTTATGATGCTTGCATCCCAAATCGTCTGTTCTGTTTATGCTGGATATTAAATTCTGCACCTTTAAGACTAGTTCTGAGAGCAAAGGGGTAGAGAAGAAGCGTGGAGATTGTTTGCAGAAACTGGACTTGCTCCCCTGCATTTTTTCTCCTTCTCACAGACTGTGTTGTCTGCAGCACAGAGAGGGAGAGAGCTCTCATTTGCTTTTAGTTATTTTTAATTTTGCTAGCTGAGGCAGAGAAGTTCCCTGGACTGTGGTTTTTCTTTTTCTTGGAACTTTTCAAACCTGCTCTGGACTGAAAACCCAGAAGAACACCAGGAGCTCACACCTGTGGCCCACCAGGGCCCAGGACGCTGCATTCCAGCACCAGAGGGACTGATAGACTGAGCGAGCTGAGCTACACCTCACAAAAAAGGACTTTCTGAATTTTCCATCTCTTCAGAACAATGAGAGGTTTTATTGTTTAATATTATTTTTTTTAATGCTTGTGATTACTTTGCTTGTTAAATAAACAGGGTTTTTTCCACTTTTCTCCAAGGAAATCTTTTCCCAAACCAGTTGTGGGAGGGGCCACTTAAATCTGCTTTCTAGAGGGACCCCTTAGGAGGTTTTCTCCCAAATTTGCCCTAAACCAGGACAGATAGTTAATAACCTAACCAGCATTGCTCAACACCCCTCCTGTATTAAAAATGCTGCATTGTACCAGCAAACAGGGGTAAAACCAAGGCCATAAATTTTCAGTATCCTTACCCCTTAGTTTACTTCTAGCATATACTGCAGAAATAGAGGAAAGGTTTAAAGAATCTGTCAACTTTTGCTGACAGTAATCGATACAGAAAACCTATGAATTTTAGAACTTCTTTTCATTTTCTCGAAAGATGTGTCCCTCTCATTAGGTAAGGATGGAGCTTTCATATCTATTATATGAAACATTCACACATTCCTGGGAATAACACTGACATGCCACCCTAGAGGAGGAGGCAAAAGGGATGACTTCCAAGACAATCTCTTCTGAAAAGAAACTTGAAATAATGGATGTTCATATAAAAGATGAAAGACTTCTTAAAAGCTCAGTTTTCCTTTCCATGTTTCTTGCTATCTAGTTTGTTTTCTGAACTACTTAAGCTTTAATAGCTGAAAACTTAAAATAATAAATGTGAATTTCATGCATGATGATCACAAATGCCAATTATATTGCAGACATGAAGACATCTCCTGCCTGTTAAAGAATGAGAACCCAAATTCTTCTAAGTACTTTACACATCATGATGAAACAACAGGAATGAAGCAATTAAGTGCCAACTTCAGCATATTACTAGCTCCTTTTTTAAGATTATGAACATGAAATGGACTAAGTGGAACAATTATGCAGATTTAAAACAAAAAGCATCAAATGACGAGTCTAAAGTTGATAGTAAACTTCAGCACTTAATTATATAAAAGTCTTGTGATAATATGGTGTTATCGTTTTAACATGGGAGGAATTTAAGAAAGTGATGTAAAAGCTTTTTGTGTAACTAACAGTCTATTGAACCACTGAAGAGCTGAACACACCTCTGTGAAAGACACATGTTAAAGACGAAAAAACCCAGGAACTTCCTCTTTCTTTCCTGGCCAGCAAGAAGGTAACACGCCCCAGGCTCACTGGGTCCCATCATGGCTGGGCCCAGGAAGCCCACTGGGCCCCGTCCCGGGCCGAGCCGGGCAGGCTCTACCGCGGGAGGCCGGGCCCCGCTCCGGGGGACTTCGAGCCCCGTTCTGAGCGGGCTGGCCCCAGCAGCTGCCAGGCAGAAGGGGGGGGGGGGGGGGGGGGGAATGAAGGGCTGGCCGCAGCTGTTAAGATCTTACCATCAGATCCCCTCCCCCGAGCGCGGCTGAGACCAGAGGCAGCCCTACAGCCATGCAGAGTGGCCCTGCGACTAGAATTAAACGCAGAGAAAACCAAAAACCAACCATAAAGCCGATCCTGACATAGCCCCAGCCGCAGCTCCCACCACAAGTTACCGGCAAGTCAAGTGACCATTTGAAGGGCTCAGGTGACATGTTAACTCTTTCAATACTTTAATCCTCCCTCGAGTAAGAGAAAGGAACAAGATGCAAGAATGTAGAAGAACAACATGAAAACATCACAGTCAGTGAAGAAGTTAAGTCCCAGATGGGAGGGATGAGATGTGTTAATTTTAAAACTGAAATCCTCTTATAAGCTATGGAAAAAATACACTTTTCTCTATAACACATGAAACTATGGGGAGATGAAGGGTTCAAATCGATATAAAGCAAAAACCTCCATACTAAAATAAGCAGATATTAAAGTAACTATGATCCCATGAGAAGTTTGAACAGAAAAAGAGAGTAGTCCTGTACCCCCAGGAGAAGATCTCTGTCCCCAGGAATGAAGATGATTTTAGAAATAATGAGAACTTTTACCTTTAACCAGCTCATCTTTAAACCAATACCCCATAAGTCAACATAGCCCATAAACAAGCTGTGGGAAGGGTTGTGGAAAATGAGAAGGGGTTCCCGATAGCAGATTTCCCCTGCGCGGCTACTATTCGTGACCAAATTGAGAGCCACGAAAGAACTGTTTTGTCCTCTTCTGGAGAAGTCTCCATAACATTAACAAGAGGAACTTGTCTTCCTAAGTGAACTGAAGAAAAACTATTTTAAAAGTAGTAAACTAACTAGAAATTTTAAGTTTTGGTTCTTTACATTATCAGAGGAAAAGAAAAGGTTATAGGGGGAGGGGAAGTGTTAGGAAAAGTTTGTCTTACTTCTTACTACTTTTTTTTTCTTTTAATTACTGTTAATAAAATTTTCTTTATACCCTTTTAAAGTTTTAACCCTGCTTTGCTTTTCTCCTAATCCTATCTCACAACAAGAAGTGAGTACATTAGTAATTGATCAACATCAAAACATACCATACTCTTTAGTACATTAGACCAGGAAATCTTAAAATTAGAGAAATCTTAAATTAATTAACCAAAACCACTCCATATGGCTTTAAATTCTTAAATAATAGGGGGAAGTATGTGGTTAACACCCACCAGCATTGAGCAGTGCAGAATTATAATTCACAAATAAATAATTTGGGATAAGACTTAAAATTTTATTATCTATGTATTGTCCACCAAGAAAAAATAAATTAATATTTCTTGATTCAATTTTATTCTAAAAAAAAGCTTATATAAATATATTTTAAACAGGAATTGCAGCAAAAAAACACAATAAGAAATATCACTGCATGCATACAAAGTATTACTTCAAAAATTTAGTTTTTGAAGACAACACAGAAACTCTGAAAAGGGTAAATAATCAATCAGTCTACCTAACAAGGCACACTTACATCTTCATTCCAATCTTCTACAGTCCATTCTTCTACTGAGTTTTTCCATGCTCCTATTGGAATTAGAGGAAGGAAAGAAAACAGTTACAAGCTAAAAGCACAATGTCATATTTCAACCATTCTGCTTTATAAGCAATCATGTTTTCATTATTTGTGGAACACAAAGCAAGGAGATAGTGGTTGGAAACATGGGAAGCTCTAGAAAACTGTTTTGCAGATTTACAGTTTTGGGAAGTGGGTTTATTTTCTCATTTAATTTCTGATTTCAGGTATTTCTTAGCCACTATGGTACCAGACATACTTTGCATGAACGCATGTCTCTACCCAGTGATTAATTGCAAACACTGGAAGAACTTCCTCCTATGACAGTGAGAGGTTACTCAACCCTCCCATGGGATCTCCCAGTTTCATGCACAAATTCATACAGAGCTTGAACAAAACATGACCACAACACCTCCTCTACCATTCATAATCCTACTGGCAACATACTCAAATTCAAGAGGTAAACTACAGCTCTGGAAGCTCCTTTCCAAAGTCTCAACTCTCTCCTAGGAGCAAAATAAGCCAAATACTTTCCCCTGAGAGACCAACTTTCTTTTAAAACATATAATTGATATAATGGTAGCAGAAGAGTCAATAGCTTCCACTGTAGCTGCAAAACACTGTCCCATAACTTGTCGCAGTTTTTTGGCAAACACTGGAAAACAGCACACAGCCCACAGCATCCAGCAACAGGAAAACTACAGGAAACAATCCTACAGATGCAAAAACCTGATCCATCATGGTAATACGTGCTGCCCTGCATCCTCCTTGCTCGATACTGAACTCCACAATCTCACGGTCACTGCAGCCAAGGCTGCCCCCATCCTTCACATCTCCAACAAGGCCTTCCCTGTTTGTCAGTATAAGGTCAAACAGCCCACCATTCCTTGTGGGATCCTCCAGTACTTGTGATAGGAATTTGTCATCAATGCTTTCCAAAATCCTCCTGGACTGTGTGTGCTTCACTGTCTTGCTTCTCTAGCAGTTGTCACAGTAGTTAAAGTCCCCCACAAGAACCAGGGCCTGTGACTTTGAGGCTGCTTCAAGCAGCCTGTAGAAGGCCTCACACACTTCTTCCTCCTGCTTAAGGCAGACTGTAGCACACACTCACAACAGTGTCACCCTTACTAGCCTTTTATCTTAACCTATAAGCTCTCAACTTGCTCGTCATCTATCCCAAGACAGAGCTCCATACATTCCAAATGTAGCCTCACATAGAGGACAACTCTACCAGCGCACCTTCTTGGTCTGTGTCTCCTAAACAGGCCCTTCATGACAACATTGCAGTCATGCGAGCTATCCCAATCGCAATGAAAGCCCTGTGACTGCACACAGATCTGTAGTTCCTCCTGTTTGTTTCCCATACTGCATGTGTTGCTGTACAGGCATCTTTATAGATGTATTTGAGTGTGCCAATATCCCAGTGGGGGTGCAAGGGAATGCCCTTAATCTTGTCTTCTGGTTACATCTTTGGTTGCTTGTGCTTGCTCAAGGCATCCCCTCTTTAAGTCTCCTTTTGCTGCTTGGGTGGTCACTATAGTTCTCCCCTTCCCACACTTTATCTGTCAAGCCTGGCCCTGTCCCATCCATCTCCCTTCCAATCTAGTTTAAAGCTCTCTCAATGAGCCCTGCTAACTCCTGAGCTAAGAGCCTTTTTCCCCTTTGAGACAGGTGGACCCCATCTGTTGCCAGCAGGCTCGGTGTTGTATAAACTGACCCATGATCAAAAACCCCAAAATTCTACTGGTAACACCACTCTCAAAGCCACGTGTTCATCTGCATGATTTTCCTGTTTCTTGCCCCATCATTCCCTGCAACTGGCAGGACAGAAGAGAACACTACTTGTGCTCCAGATCCCTCGACCAGTCGTCCCAAGGTCCTGACATCCCTCTTGATGATCTGCAGACTTCTTGTTGGGAATTCGTCAGTACCCACCTGGAAAACCAGTAGCGGGTAATAGTCAGTGGGCCATACCAGGCTGGAAAGTTTCTTGGTCATGTCCCTTACCCAGGCCCCAGGGGGACAGCACATCTTCCTATGGGTTGGGTCTGGTCAGCATATCAGGCCCTCCATTCCTCTCAAAAGGGAGTCACCAATGACTACTACCTTTTTTTCTTAATTGAAGAGGTCATGATGAGGGGGTAGGCTGCCTTACCCTAGGTGACCCTTCCATCCCAGAACCACCTTCATCCCCATTCTCCTTTTCCTGGTCCTCATTTTCCTGGTCCTCATATTCCAGGTCCTTGCACCTATTTGTATAAGGGCACCTGGGAAGGTAGGGTAGGTTGGGAGGGGATATCCTGCCACCCTGAGCAGAACCCTGTTTCCACTCCCCTCCATCACTAATGTCCCCTTCTCCTGCCTGGTGGTGAGAGGGTAAGGGATCCATTGCTTCCCCGCCACCTTTGGGAGACTGAACCTACTTAGAATAATACTTGGGATATTTTCCTGATATTCAATTTAAACATTTAACTGTTGTTCCTACTTATGACCATGGTTCTGTGAGCTTATTCTTTTAAAATACTGAACACAACCCATCACCCTTTTATTAGTTTACTTAAGCTGCTAAGTTTATTACTATAGTTTATTAACATTCTACCTTTTCAACGCAATCTTTCCAGTTTCAGTTATTTCACTGCTCTTCTCTGCACTAAATCTAGTTTACTAACGCCTTCCTCCTATTAACGGGATTCCAAATCTGATCTTGCCACAAGTGCAATTTCCTTTCAGTCCAAAATCCACCTTGGCATTATTGCAACTCCATATATACTCTTCCCAACCTTCTCGCCAAGCCTTGCAAAGCATTGCAATTTAAAAATTCTCTGGTTTGCACTAAAATTATGCTATGCATTTTCAAGGATCCTTGTCATTGCAATTCAACTTAGATAGTCATCTGTGACTTTTTCCTGTTTCCCTTAGTAACAAGTCTAGTTTAAAAAAATTATAAAGCCAATAAAAAGTATACTACATACTTTTGGTAACTCTTCAGCTATTTTTCTCCAATTCCTCACTTCCTGTCACACTATTTGATTTATTTTTTTAATGATCAGCCATAGATATTAGCTCAAAAATAATTTTATTTTGGTCTATCCCAAACTCATGTAATAATCCTTTCCTTCTGGATTACATTCAAATTCTAGAATAACCTGTAAGTTTCCTAAAATGTTCCTTCTGACTTTTGCAGCAGTCCTAAAAAACACAACTTCCTTGTAACTTTTAAGCTACACAATTCCCTTCTTCCCCCACTATAATTTTTTTCTTTTGTGTTGTTCTTCAGTTTCAAAGTTATTTAAGGCTGCTCATAACCAAGATAATAACAAATGAAGTTTTTCTGTTAAATTTATGAAACTATTAAAGTAGAAGTATCATTAAATTACCAGAATATATTTTTTTATAACTTACTTTGAGAAGCAACCACCTCCAACATAATTTATTTATAAGAACTGTTGTGATTTGAGGTTCAGGATCTCCCATGGATTTGTACCTTACAAAAAAGGCTAAGAGACTGAACACTCAGCATGCCTGTAAGAAAATATCAATCATGCTATTCAAGTTTATTCCCTTTTGAATAAGGACTGGTGGTTTTGTTTCATCCTACCTGTCCCTTCTCTTTACCTTTCAGTTGTACATTACTTCTATAAAAATTAGGATATAGAAAACCCAATGCCGAATTATTTAAAATACAATCACACTTAAACATTATGAACCATTAAAGCTTTGCCCTTTACTCTCTCGCTTTTTTTTTTTTTTTTTTTTTTTTTTTATCTCCCCCTTTTTTTTTTTTTTTTTTTATTTCAGCCAACAACACTAAATTTTACCTCCACAGAACCACCTAGCTTTTCTATAGGACTATACAATGGTCCACCTAGAAACACCTTTCATTCAGGCTACGGCAATTCCTCTGGCACCTGCAACAATTCAGGACAAGAGGTGCTAGAGTGCTATAATAGAAGGTATGGGGGCAAGTACATTTTGGAAACAAATAGTGTAATTATTTTTAGTTGAAAATGTTAATGTTGATAATTTCCCAGCACTGGCTTGAAGAGGAAATAGCTAGTAAATACTAAAAACATCGCAGAGTTTATATTTGCATGATGTCTTTAGAAAATATTTTAATATGCAAAAGTGGTTTTGTTCCTCCAGGTAGTTGCCCAGTAACCTCCTCTTCAATGTAACTGCAGATGTAAGATACTAATTCTCCATATAGCCAATATGTGCTATTTTTTTTTTTTTTAAGATTAAAGAAGAAATAAGACTGAATAATAAGGAATAAAGACAGGGATTTACATCCTGCCCTTCCTCTCTCTGTATATGCTTATCCGAAATCCTTTGCAAGCCCACTGCAGGCTATATGGGTTTCCATACATAAACATTGCCCTCATTCACATCTTTAGTAACTCCACATTGGTAACATAATTATTACTGAGTCTGTTGTTTTGTAACTAACATGACAACACTGTAAGTTAAGGGAAAAAAATTGAAAACTAATACTTGTGATTAATAAGCAAAATCAAAAGCTCAAATTTGTACAATCTGCTTCCAGTCCCACATCATGTCTGCCACTCCTTCCCCCTACCTCTATTTCCATCTCCCTTCCCAGCACTTTCTTCTATTTTAAAACTATTACATCAGCTGCAGCATCCTCTAATAACCCTCAAGATGCTTTCCATCACAAGGCTGAAATTGTTTCCCACTTGGACAAAACTAAATAATTAAATTTTAAAGCCTACTCTTTTTTGAGAAGTCTTTTTAGCTCAGGGACTTATTTCTGACATTCCAACAGCTTGTCTAAAGAAGAAACACAAACAAAACATTCTCCCTATAGTCATATATAGAGAGATGTAGAAGCATGGAAGATAAGGGGCTAATGTGTGTGCCTCAAACGCCATTAGCTGGATGTCTGTGGAACCAACCAAGGGTTGTTGGTAATAACACACTGTGAGAAGGAACAGGATGTGGCTGGAAAAGGGGCCATATGGAGGTAGGGCAACAATTTTCTGGGACAAACATC